CACACTCACTCTGGTGAAACCCTGTTCCAGTGTACAGAGTGTCCAAGAAAATTCTATCGAATTGATTATCTCAAGAAGCACATGTACACTCACACAACAAAGCTTCCATTCAAGTGTTTGATTTGTCGTCGTGGTTTTCTGAAGAACGACAAACGGAAGGCACACCAACGAAACTGCAATGGACGCAATTACGAGTGTTATTTGTGCAAGAAGTTCCCCGGTTCATCCAAGGCTTACAGATTGAAAGGTCATATGCATGTACATTCAGGCGAGAAAATATTCCGCTGTGACCTGTGCCGTAAAACATTAACACTGAAATCGAGTTTGAACAGGCACATGAAGAACATTCACAACAAGCAATACTGAACGACGCGATTTTATTGTAAGGGTATTCCCATGGGATAGTCAGACAACTCTATAGAATCAACTTCATTTAACGAACAAAAAAATCATATGGACCCATAAATGTTTTAAACATTTCAATCAATAACAAGTACATTCAAAATTTGTTTTTTTTTTACATAAATCGGTTTATAACTATATTTTTGCTATCTAAATCTTTGAATTCTCATTATCAATTTCTATAAAATATTATCTTTCGATGAGTTTAAATCATTAATTAATCGTTCAGCCAAACAATGTTTTCATAACAAACAAATGGCACATTTTGTTTTCAATAAACAATTTTTAAGGTTAATTAGAAATTGCGATATTTTATTTAGGTCTAGTGACATCTCGATGACGAATCGACATTGAATCAAAATCATTGTCATTTCAATCGTCAACACATACATTGTCAACATTTCTGACAAGTGGATTTTGAATAAGCCCATTACAATGCTGCACAGAACTAGAACTAGAGACAATTTTATTGGTAAGTACAGTGCACCCCCGCAAATTAGAAACCCGAAAATTAGAAAACCTCAGAAATTAGAAATGAATTTCAGGTTTGAAAATTTGTACGGAAAATTTCTAATTTCCGGGGTTCATTTCTAATTCACGGGGTTTCCGAATCATTTCATTCAAGACAAAGGGAAATTTACTTCATTTTTAATGAAAAAACGTAATGAAAGTCTTTTCCATTTCGTTGAATAACTGTATTAGCAGATCAGCTGAGATTTTCGACGTACCATGAAGTTAAAAATTAAGTCACGAAGTAATCTGTTCCATTTTGTCTGCGTCAATCATCAATCATTAACAAATCGAAACCGATTTGTTCCATCAGAGAATTTGCATATACAAAATTGTTAACGTTTTCTGTTTACTATCGTATGATATAATAAGAACAGCCGGTCATCATTTATTTCGGTTTGTTCCGAGGAGTAGTTTATCCAGTAAAATAAACTAACAGACTTACTATATATTTATAATCACTAAAATAACTGCATGCATTTACATACAATACTTGATTGAACAGTATTCAATATATCGTTTTCAATTAAGCAAATCATTCCCCCTATCAGTTTTTCATTTAATACACCGTTTTTGGATGAAATTGAAAAAACCTCAGAAATTAGAAAACTCCGCAAATTGGAAATGGTCTCGGGACATTTCGTTTCTAATTTGCGGGGGCGTACTGTACTTTTAAAACTTAAGCTGAGATGAGCGATCAAATTCTACTTTTAACCAGTGCCGGTATTCTACGACTTTCCGACAAAATCGTTCGGAATTATTTTTTTCGTACATAAGACCATATTGGAGTGAAAGAGAGAGATTCCACTATTTTTCAGCGTGCCACCGGAATTATTTTTCACACAATCCACTCTTCCTTGAGTTATCGGGATAATTCCGGTGGCACGCTGAAAAATAGTGGAATCTCTCTCTTTCACTCCAATATGGTCTTATGTACGAAAAAAATAATTCCGAACGATTTTGTCGGAAAGTCGTAGAATACCGGAACGGAGCGTGTTATGAGCTGATGTCATTGCATGAAGAGAATATGAAAGTTGACTTGGAAACCAGAAGGGAATATGAATTTTGTACTGCAAATGCGTTAAAACAACGCAACGCATACTCGTCAGCAGCTGATGTTAGTTATTGCTGCTGACATCAGCTCATAACACGCTCTGCTTTTAACTCTTTTTTCTACCTGCTGGTCAACAACTGTACGAAATTGACTGTAAGCTTGAAATCCATGGATGCTACTGTATGTTAAAATGATGAAATGTTCAAATATTCCTTTGAATTTTTTTTATTTTCATAAAGGAGATTCTAAAAAGGTTCTACACTGAATTTATATTTGATAAGAATTTGTTCATAAGTCTAGGCTGATAAAAGAATTTCGATATGTTTGAAGAAGAGGTTCACATCGGTTTTCTTTCCGCGATGTAATAAAGATACCTTCTGAGTACAAACTAATCAGTTAGCCAAAAAATCGTTTACCTGGCTCAGGTCAATATAACCAACTGTAACTCGAAAATTACCTCATTTACGTCTTATCGTATTCTTTTATGGACGAGTAATTAGGTAATTTGAGCTAGACGCCTATGTCGTTGTCATTTCCGTAGAATGTCATATGCTTCTATGCATTTTTTCTATGTAACCGAATGCAATCAGGTAAATGTGTCTCTATATATATTTTTGAAGAGATAAAATGGTATTCGACTGTCTTTGATGCTTCAGTTTGCGATTGCACTTCATACAGCATAGTACTGTGAAGCAACAACTTCTAACGATATTTCATTAGGCTTGTTTGTGCTGGTGCGTTAATTTAGTGCTGTTACTTTCTTGCGATTTTTTCTTTTTTGCAATAAATTATCGTGATATCGTCAATATTTAGTCAATAAATGTGATTGATTTCACATCCAAAATTACAATAGAACCAACAACTGAGTTCAAAACAGTCACCAACACTAACAACATAAAATGAAGGCTTCGACAGTGCAAATTTTAATGTTTTGTGTACTATTTTCAACCGTTGTAACGTGTAAGCAGACTTTTACGCTAGTCATTTTGTGTAGTTTTTGTCATTTCTATGCATGAATTTGGCATTTATTTCATTTTAATTTCAGTTCATTTAACATAATTCTATAAAAAAAATTCATTATTTCCAGATCCGATCGATCATTTCGAAAATCAGTCAGTAAATTTTGTGCATTCTTTCATTGAATCGGGTCTTCAAAATATTTTCAACGTTTTCTCTTCAAATCCTAGTCGTCACAGAAGGTGCATTTTATTCTGTCGTGTGAAACGTGTTCATCATAACCCAAGGTAAAGAATTGATTTATTTCTGTATTTTGCATCAAAAATGATGAAAATTAACAAAATTTCCTTTTTTTTCCACAACAAAACAGTCTCGATGAAGACCTTTTTGAAGCGGCTGCTAAAGGTAAGGGAATCGACTATAGTCGAATGAAATTAAAGAAAAAACTTTTCGAAAAACAAAGATTTTTTTTCTAAAATGATTCAATCATTTTTGCAGGAAGTGAAATTAAAATGAAGATTTACATTCGACGCGGGGCAAATGTGAATTATATAAATGCCAACGGGGAGACACCATTAATTGCAGCCGCCTACAGTGGTAATTTATAATATTTCCAATTAGGTGAAAAAGTTGAACCATATTGAACCATTTTTTCTTCATATTCAAGGTGATCATGACGCTGTCGATATTCTAATTTCAAAAGGGGCTTATGTTAATTATGCAAACAACAACGGAGATACAGCATTGCACACGGCCGCTTTTCATGGTAGTTTTTTTTCTAAAATCATTTTGCAGTTTTTATTTTTTTAAATTAAAAGACGAAGTTTTTGACTTAGAACTGTACTTGTGCAATATTGCGTCGATTTTTGAGTTGCAACTTTGGCCATTAATTGAGTATTGCCTAATAATTGAATCCTGGTTTTAACGTCTTCCGTGTGGAAAACAAATGACTGACTGACTGTAAATGAAATCAACTAATAAGCGACTTTGGTTAACTGAGCAGATGTTTTGTATGAAAAATAGTCGACTACAATTAAAATTTAGCCATACGCTTAATTTGAGACATATTTGACTGGAGTCAATTTGTGATTACACTCATTGTTTTTGTACTGAATAATCACTTTTAGCCAGTCAACTATTTGCCAAAATAATCGATTGGTTGCTCACTGCTCAGTCAAAATATTTTCACACGGGCTTTTCCAAATGATTCATAAATGGGAACATCAACGCTTTTGAATTCAAATTTTTTGAAAAATCACACATTCTTGTAACCAAAAATAATACTATTTTCCCTATTAATTTAGATAACAAAAGATGCGTCGAATCATTGATCAAAGGCGGAGCATATATTAATTTTCAAAATTTGTATGGTGACACAGCGCTTCATGTGGCTGCCAGAGCAGGTATAGAACATATTCAATAACAAATACAACAGTCTTATCACTATTTCAACAACAACAAAAAAATGTTTAAACCAATTCTCAATCGATTAGGTCATACAAAGATAGCAGATGTACTCAAAACCTATGGAGCCAATATTAGTATCAGAAATTACGATGGTAAAACAGCGATGGAAATCGCCGTCGATTCAGGTATTCAGGATAGAAGAGAGGAACATTCCTCTCTTTTAACGAACATTAAACAAAAAAAGGAACATCTTTTTTCTTTAGGTTAGATACAGAATACATTTTCTCCTGGTTCTTTTGAATGATAAAAAAAAAGTTTTTTTTTTCACAGGTAAGAAAAAATTATCTGGCATTTTAAGCAGATTTGGTGACGAAGCAAAAAACGAATCGGCTCAAACAACCAATACACCGGCTGTTGTTCAGACAACGAAATCTCCGATTGTGATTGAAACAACCGAATCTCCCGTTTTTATCCAAACAACAAAACTTCCAGTTATGACGACAACAATGTCTCCTGTTGCATCTCCGCATGAAAGTGTGCGAAATGGTAATAAAAACAATATTTTCGTAGAAAATACGAAATGAAAGAAAAATCCGCGCAAAGCCCCATATTCTTCAATTAAATCTCTTTTTTTTTCTACTTTGTTCAATTTTAGCTTGCAAATCATATATCCGTTTCGCCAAGAGCATGCCAACCACAGTTGTACGCATTTTAGGCGGGGCCCCGGCTAAAACGGATGAATTTCCATGGATGGTAGGTTGAATTTCAGCACTTGAATAACAATTTTCAGAATAATTGAATTCAAAACGGGTTTTTTCTTTCGTAGGCTGCTTTGGGGCACTTGAACTCTGAACTGAAAGTGGAATTCAATTGCGGAGGAACTCTCATTTCCAATAATTTCGTTCTAACCGCAGCACACTGTGTGAAGCATTCTCTGCGATTGGTGCTGGTGCGACTTGGAAAAGTAAGTTTGAAATTGGATTCATTAAACAATCGCAAAAAATTCTTATTTCAGAAAAAGAAACTTGAATCTTGAAAAAACATGAATTTTAAGCCAAATGTGATATTTTCAAACTAAATTACTCTTTTTTAAACCATATCAACAGCAAAATTTGACTGATGGAACCGAAGCGGTAGATCGAACTATTGAGGTAAATTTTGTCAAGAGTTTTTTTTTATTTTTTTTTAGTTACTTGATAAAACATCCATTTGAGAATATTAGAAAGATGGCTCAAAGTACCCCAATTTATTTTTTTGTCAAGTTTTAATCAACAAATTCTTCACCAATTTTCCTACGCAGGATATTATAACTCATCCAGATTATTCGGCCATGACCAAGTTGAATGATATTGCATTGATTCGAATCAAAGCGGTTAAATTCGCAAAAAATGTGATACCAGCATGTTTGCAAATGGATGTACGTGACATGCCGTCCAACGAACCGCTCATTGTGACTGGATGGGGCAGTGTTTCGGCTGAACGTAAGTTAAAAACACTACTGAAGAGAGCAATAACTAAGTTAGACTATTACGAGCATTGCGATAGCATTGATTAACTGTAGAAAATATATTTTCTCTCATCAAATCTTGAGATTTAAGACATTTTTCAGTATACGTTTATCTATAGATACTAGATAATCCATATTCAATAGGTCACTTGAACTAAAACTTCGTCTTAATTCTTATTCCAGGAACCAACAAATCATCTACACTACTTAAAACGCAATTGAAAACGATGCCAATTGCCGAATGTAGTTCAACCCTGCTGAGCAATCGAACATCGAATCTCTCCAGTTTGAAAAACATAACAAACGGCCAATACTGTGCATTTGATCCAAATGCTCAAAATGACAGTTGCCAAGGCGATAGTGGTGGACCTCTTCAGACTTTTACAGATGACTCATCCATTTCCACTGTTGTTGGAATCGTTTCATTTGGCATTAGTTGTGGAACTGCAATGCCAGCTGTATACACCAGGGTTGCCTATTACTTAGACTGGATTGAATCAATCGTTTGGCCGAACACAGAAGTTTTTAAATAACATTGAAATATCAACTAGTTCACATTGTATGTCGAAAAAATACTTTGAATTTAATAATTGAAACACAAAATTAAAAAAAAACAATTGAGAAATACAGACACTTTCGTATTTTTTTCTATTTTAATGAATTAGTCAAATTTTGCGAAAAAATATCCAATTTCATCGGTAAATGAAACCATCAAATCATTTAATTTTTCATTTGGTCGACTCAAATCGTCTGACCACAATCAAATCAAAGCTGTTGGTGCTTATCTCCCATTTCGTTGCAACAAAAATCTTATCACTTGACGTAAATTCGGTTAAGCCTTTGCATTTTTCTCTACATTTGATACGAAGTTGCCAAATCCTGGAAATCTTGAGCTTCCATCGAGTTTGAATGAAGATACCATTGATGATTCGTCCGTTGAAATTCATTTCCAAAATGTTAAAATCCTTGTAATGAGCTGTGGAATCCACATATCCACTGTGTGGATTTGCTCCATTTCTCAATGTTACCTTTTATCAAATCAAGAAAATTCAATTGGACTGCACACGCGCTGTTTGGGATCAAAGATCATGTTGACAATAATTTCTGGTCAAATCGATAATACGGTATTTTTGAAGCTTGCCAATCGACTGCCAAATTTACGTGAAGCATCCTTAGGAAAAGAAATTGTATGGGAAATGTTTAGTATAATAGTAGTAGTAGCAGATAAATAAATAAATAACTCCATTGTTTTGTTTAAAAAAAACAGCATTTCAAGTCTAATGCAACATTTTTTGTCTCTACTACCGCGGAAATCATAACCCGAATTCGTTGACATGTATTAAAGCAAACTTTTTATTGAACCATTTATGGGCCATAAATTATGACTTGTCGTAATTGTAGCTACTTCAAACTGTCCAAAATGATGTTAGAATCGGGTGAATGCGTGTAAAACTATTAAACTGTTAGTATTTCTCAAGTATTTGGCGGTATTTTGATTGATCATAGATTAGATTAATTTCGGTTACGATTTTGACTGTAATAATAAATAAATTCTCTGTTTTTACGTCCAAAATGTCGTATCTGGCAATAAAAGAACAATCCGAACTGTATTATTATGAGGAGTCTAAAAAGATTGACGTTATTCTATTGTGAAAAAAACGACCGTATGATTTATTGTATAATTTATTAGGTTTGTTGAAATGTGTATTATATTGTTTGAAATATTATTTGATAGAGAAAAGAACATAAATTGATTAAGTGGTTTGAATCGAATGCATTAAATTGTTTTATGATAACCGGATAGAGTTAGTATGAAAATATCTAAAATGGAGGTGGAACATGTGAAAAATCAACATAAGCAAAGTGCTAAAAATCAATATATTTTCGTGTTTACACGTAAGAATGAGATAGAATGTTTTTTACAAGATAAATTATGCTACATTACAGAAATATAATCCCATCTCTCTCACTCTCTCTATCTCTCTCTCTCCTTCTCTCCATTTCAAAGTGAATCTATTGGCACTAGCAAGTGGAATTGGTGCTGGCTGGAGCATTCCAAGTATTATGGTTCTAACTTCGGATGAATCGCCCTTACCATCTGGGAAAATAACCATGTATGAAGTCTCTTGGATCGCATCAATTTGGTCCCTCGGTGGTTTAATTGGAGGCCTAATATTTGGATTCTTTCCCAGCAACTTTGGACGAAAATGGCCGCTGATTTTTATGGTTTTTCCAACACTAGTAAAAAAAAATTCGAATTCCAAAAAATTAATTAAATCACTTGATCTATCTGAACTAATGGTCTGTTTTAGATATGTTGGTTACTCATTTTATACGCACAAAATGTGATTTATCTATATGTTTCGCAATTGTTATATGGTTTTTCACTTGGAGGAACGGTTGTGGTGGCATCATTTTATGTCTCAGAAATTGCGAATGATGAGTAATTTTTTAAAAATAAAAATCACATCGAATTCAAGAGACATTTCGTTACCATTTTTTTTCTTCAGCAATCGAGGCGCTTTGGGATTGAACCAGAATTTAACCATGCAGCTCGGAGTGTTGATGGCCTTCATATTGGGATATTACTGTGATTATTATACGACACCGAAAGTTTCGATTGTTTTACTCTTCTTTTTTACCGTTTTATTCACATTTTTCCCTGAATCACCAGTCGTTCTTGTGAAACAGAATCGAATCACCGTGAGTTTGATGGGTTAGAATATCGATTGAGGATCGAATTTGTAACACGTTTGTAGAGAGAGGATGTGTAAATTTTGCTGCTTAGCAGCCCTGAACTGTGCTGAATTTGCAGACTCAGACGTCTGAAGCAGCATTTTAACGCACTTACAGTGCAAAATTTCCATTGATAGCTGGCATCCTCCTTAAACAACGTGGATCACAGCTAGCAATGGCAATTTAGCACTGTAAGTGCTTTAAAATGCCCCTTCAGACGCCTGAGTCAGCAAATTCAGCTCAGTTCAGGGCTGCTAAGCAGAAAATATACACTCTCTACGTTTGCAACCAATTTAACGATGATTTTCATATTCAAACTAATCATTAAAATATTATTCATTGAACAGGAAGCAGAAAGATCAATTAAATTTTACCAAAATTTACGCGATGGTGATAGTGAAAAACTTCATTTTGAAATGAACAAACTAACTGAATCGCTCTGTAAACAGGTGAAAAGTAATGGGGATTCATTCGATTGGTTGTATCTATTGACAAACCCTGGGAGAAAAGCGTTGACAATTGGCGTTGTTTTGTCAGTATTGAGTCCACTTTCTGGGTCTATAACAATTTCAACTTACGCTGGAGCCATATTTGAAGCGGCTGGATCAACCATTCCACCAAACATATCAGTGATTGCTGTAGGGGTCGTACAACTTCTTGGCACATTAATTACAACGAATTTCATTGAACGTGCTGGACGAAAGGTAGCCCATAATAATTTCTTACAGATTCTTTGACAAACTTTAGTATAAGTCAAAACCAATATATCTAAAATGTAAAAAAAAAAATCGTTTCGGTTTTTGTACATTGTGTCAACAAATGGAACTGCCTTGGGATTGGTCGTTTTGGGTGTATTCATGATGCTAAAATCATGGCAGTACAATGTTGAATCATTCGATTGGATTCCGATTGTGAGCTTTTCACTGGCGATTTTCTCCGCAGCATGGGCCATTATGAGCCTGCCCTTCGTTATTATTTCCGAAATTTTGCCGGAAAAACTAAAAGATTTCGGTGCAAATCTTTGTTCCACACTTTTATGGTCGTTCGGATTCATTGTTCCCAAATATTTTCCATTCTTTACGGACATAATTGGATATCATGGAACCATGTTCCTTTTTGCTGGATTTTGCTTATTGGGCTCATTGTTTGTTTCGATGTGCTTACCCGAGACAAAGGGGAAGAGCCGCGATCAAATCATGGATATGCTTCGTTAATAGTTATAATACCGTACTTTTTACTAGTGTCTAGTTTATGGAATATTAAAGATAAAAAAGAATCAGTTTTTTGGAGTTTAATTTGATGAATATAAATTTTTTTATGAATTCAAAGTAGTATTTTTTATTTTCATCATCAAAGATAGATAAAATATCTGTGTTTATCAAAAATTTCAAGATATTCCTGATAAAACTTCTGTAAATCAGAGGATATCGAGTAATATTGTATGACATTTGATCATCGACATGCAGAGAAAAGGTTGTAATAGTTGTTTTTGAAGAGTATTTTCTGAATTGTTCAATTATGGTTGAAATTTGACAAGTGCGAGAATTCTAGCCAATGAAAAACAACTCATTCTGATTTTATTTCCAACTTTTCAACCAACGGTCATCGCACAAGATGAAGCAAAGCTATCAATATTCCAACCATGGTTGAATAATTCACAAAATCTTTCAAATTCTCAGCGGATCAAATGTATATCATGGATGGCTCTGTGATACGATGAACAGATTAAAATTGCAAATATGTCAAAATCCACATTCGTATTTGTTTATGATTTTTGTATAGTTTGGTAGCTACAATTTTATGGCCTCAGATAGAAAAATCGCCATTTTCAAAGTTCAAGCAAAGAATGAAAAGGGTGATTTATTATGAGTTGTGCCATAAATAGATAACGCTGAACTCCATTCGAATTGAATCTTTATTGCTATATTGCTATAAAATGTATAGCGATGGTTATTTTGAGATAGCAAATTGACCTTTAAAAGAGTCGATTTGAGCTTGGAAAATATATTTTATGTTCAGCTCATGAGCATTTTGTTTAAAGTAATACACAAAGGAAGGATCAAAAATGATTGAGAGAAACACGAAGATCGAATGGGAGCCAAGTGCCAAAAATCAATACCTTGCTGTATTTACGAGTAAATAACAGGAAATTTTCTATGATAAAGTAAAATTTTAATAAATTACATTAATCGGAGGATCCATTTAATTGAATTAAATTATTATATAACTGTGTTAGATATGGGCATATTTGGTTATATTGATCTGAGCTCTTTTTAAAAGTCAATTTTCTAGGATTAGCCTGTGGAATGGGTCTAGGTTGGACCAGTCCAAGTATTTTGGTTCTGACTTCTGATGAATCACCGTTACCATCTGGAAAAATAACCATGGAAGAAGCCTCTTGGATCACATCACTTTGGTCTGTCGGTGGTTTAATTGGATGTATGACTTTTGGATTTATTACAAGTCACTTTGGACGGAAATGGCCATTGATTTTTATGATTATTCCGAAAACTGTAAGTAAAATAGTGTTGTAATAAATTATAATTCCAAAAAGGTCTGTCCACTGGATGAAAACATTTTAACATCCACTAAATGATTAAAAAGCCAGCAAAAATGCACACATTCTAGATGTTCACAAGATTTTTGTCAAACATTAGCCCATGGCGATGGTATATGAAACGAAACATTCATTTTTTTTTTCTGATCAATCATGTTTTCAAGTCAGGTCTTCGATCCTTTCAGATAAGTTGGCTACTCGTTTTATTCGCACAGAATGTATACTACTTGTACATCTCCCGAATAATATTTGGTATTGCTGTCGGGGGTGCGACTATGATAGTGCCACTGTTCGTTTCGGAGATAGCAAATAAACGGTAAATTTTTGCAATGGAATTCCGTTCCTGTCCATTTTTTGATTGCGAAACCATATTTTCAGCATTCGAGGTGCTTTGGGAGCAACACAGATATTGACCGTTAATTTCGGAACTTTATTGGCTTTTATATTGGGCAATAGTTTTGATTACTATACAACTCCAACATTTTTGCTCATTTTGCTCTTCATATTCGCCATTTCATTTGCATTCTTCCCGGAGTCGCCAACGGTTCTTGTAAGACAGAATAGGATTGCGGTAAATATATAAATATCTAAATCAATAAAAATGCGATAAAAATCTGAACTACTTATTAACAAACAAACAATGATCACCGATCGTTGAATAGGAAGCAGAAAAGTCGATAAAATTCTATCAAAGTTTACGTGAAGGAGACAACCAAAGGCTTCGCTTGGAGATAAACCAACTCAAAAGTTCACTGTGTTTACTTACAACTGAAAAATGTGATGAAAACTCATTCGATTGGGCGGATTTATTGACGAACCCTGGACGAAAAGCATTGATGATTGGAGCCACTCTGGCGATGCTAATCAAACTCAATGGTTCTACAACTATGTTATCTTACGGCGCGAAGATATTTAAAGCGCTTGGATCGGCAGTGTCACCGAATGTATCGGTGATTGTAGTGGGAGTGGCACAACTGCTTGGGACTTTTGTAACGATTAATCTCGTTGATCGTGCCGGGCGACGGGTGAGTTGGTCAAATTGTCATTTATATTAAAGTAGTTACAATCAAGTTTTTTTTTCGTTTCTTCTCCGAAAAGAGAATTTCTTCCCATTTTTCTCATTTTAGTGATTTTATCTCTAAATTTCTACTTCTTTCTTTCAGTTTCTTTACATCGCATCAACAATCGGAACGGCTTTGGGCTTAGTCACTTTGGGCGCATTCATGGTGCTCAAATCATGGCAGTACGATGTTGAATTCTTCAATTGGATACCAATTGTAAGCTTTTCATTCATTGCTTTTATGGCATCGTGGGCGTTGTTGGGTTTGCCATTTGTTGTTATCTCAGAAATTATGCCGGAAAAACTAAAAGATTTTGGTGCAACAATTTGTCAAACACTTAAATGGTCGCTTGGATTTCTCATCCCAAAATATTTCCCAATTTTGATTAATTTACTTGGATTTCATGGAACCATGTTTCTGTTTGCGTTCGCTTGCCTATTCGGAACGGTTTTTGTGATTGTATTTTTACCAGAAACGAAAGGGAAAAGCCGAGATCAAATCACGAATTTACTGCGGTAGAGGTGCATCAAACGAAATAACAATCAAACGGAGTGGACTGAATAATATTATTTAACATTCGCATGCACCCAAGCGAGTCCAAATCACAGTTTGTGCATGAGGAAACGATATTTACAGTCCATAAATACTTTTATGAGCTTTTGACAATAAATTGACTTATATTCCAATTGAAGCGCCTTATTTATTTTGTTCTAGATACCATTTTTTCGCTGTTCGATTTTACCCATTTCATTTTTTGCTTTTCGCATTTCTTCGTTCGTTTCACCCATTTCATCACTTGCCTTTCACATTTCGCCGTTCATTTCACCTATTTCATCTCTTGC